CGGCTGCGCCTCCTGGAGTTCTGTCTCCCGAGGGCGCGGGCGTGCGCTGGGCGAGCCGCGGGGTGGGAGGGCGGGAGAGAGGCGGGAGGGGGCCGCGGTGCGCCTGCACGTAACAGCTGCTCAAACCCAAGCACGTCCCGAAAGCGGTATTTTCTGCGTCTGGGAGGTTTTTGCATCCTCAGTTCCCACCGCTGGGGCTGGCGGCGACCAACTGTAAGAGAAACTCACGGGGAGGCGAGGCAGGGGGGTGCGGAGGACGGGAAGGCGACTCTCAGGGGTGGGAAGTGAATGCTGGACTTGATCGTCTTTCTTTCTGTCTTTCAGCACAGACCTGTCGCAGCCGGAGAGCTGTCATTTCAGCACCGGGATTCAGAATTGATCCAGTCCGCAGCGGAGGGGGCACATCCAGCTTCCGAAATGGGGCGTTTCTCCGGCTGGAACAATAGTAGTTTTTTCTCTGCGAGGCTGCAATTAACATCTTATTTGTTCTGGCTCCATACAGGCTCTGTCAGGACCGCGGTGAGGCGACCGAGGTTGGGCTCTGGTATTGCTTTCTGCTGGGCAATGGGATCATGGTTGTGGGGTCTAAACTTTTGTTTTGTATTCTTAATGTATCTGATTCTTTTTCAAGTTTCCCTAGTAACAGGTTTGGGGACTGGGTGGGAAGAAATGAGGAGAACCTACTAGATTCTCCTTATAGGAGGAAAAAGGGATACATTTGCATCATTCTCCTATTTATTTATTCAGCCTCCTGGACAGTTGGCTGACGACCTATTTGATCCGTCGTAGCTTCAGATACATGCTACAAAAGGTCATTCGCCTCTGATTATGTCTCTACTTGTACACGCAGTTGGTGGTTTGCAAAACAAGCGCTTAAATAGTGCAGCCATGTGGTGGGAGGAGACCGTAATGGGTAATTCATATAAAGTGTGGGAGTCTTCCTAAGGGTGAGTTACTTGAGCGGCAGATGAAGTTGAAAAAAGCGATTTTCCGTCATTTTCTCTCCTCGTCCTTTTGCATTTTTTTCTTCCTCTTGTTCCTCTTCCCCTGAGGCGATTGGAGCCAAGAACACCATTTTAAAAGAGGTTTATAATGAAAACGGGAAGGTTTTGGTGATCTTTTATTCATCGAAGTTGTTTGAAATATTAAAATTGGCTCTTTACTTTTTAATACATATTAATAGTGACCCTCTTCAAGGCTTTCTCTTCTAGGACGAGCGTTTGGAATAACACCCTGTAAGGAAAACAGTTAATCACTCCCCAGCAGGCTTTAACTGTGTTCCCAGGAACAAATCACCAGGGAGAGAGCAGCCTGGGTGGTGTTTTGGTTTTGTATCATTTCTGGTTCATTACAATATTTTTATTCTTTTAAGGGAATGTGAAAAAGAAATAAGGTTTATGTCCAGGGCAAAATCTGAAGCATTGTGTATTAAGCAAACACATTTTTTTTTTAACCAACATTCAGCAATACAAAGGAGAAACACATTTCATTTATTTCAACTTCCATAGAAATTGTAATCATAATATGCAAGACATTTTGGTCGGTTGTTACTTTACCCAGAATAAAAAAGTGATTAATGATAGATGTAGAATAAAAATGGGGGAAAAGAAAATACTTTGCATGATTTGTACATAAAAAGGAAAGAAGACAATGTGAGGTTTAAGTACACTTCTGTATTGCATCTAGTGATTTCTCATATTTTCTGTTAACACTGTGATTTTGATGTTTCTTAGGAATTCTTAAAGTCATGACACAGTGACATAAGAATAACAGCCCAAAGAGACAATTTAAAAAACCTTAATCCTATATGGAAAGGAGCACTCACTCCCAGGATCATTTATATTCAAGTAGAATTCAGGGCTGGGTCAGAAAAGAAAGCCACCCTTAATAAAGCGTTTCACCCTTCACACTGTTTCCCATAACCTTCATAAATTGCAGGCTACTGAGCTGGCCTGATGATGATCCTGCTGAGGTATATTTATAGCAGATGATTTGTGGATGATAAATATGCCAAGCAAGACACAGTCTCCAGTAACCCCAGACTCATCTGACTTCCTCAGGGGGTTATAATCAAGAATCACAAAAAGAACTGTAAATGGAGAATCTAGTTTCTGGACCCTGACAACAGCACAATCCAAAGGCAAACCAAGGAGAGACCACATTGTTTCATGTCTGCACTATGTTCAACATGAAAGCATTGCTGACATATTTACCCAACAACAAAAAGAAAGCAGCAATTTACACACCCTAGGCTCTGTGTCCTTTCCTCCCAATTAAAATTGGTTCATTTTTATGATTTAATATACTTTTAAATCTCCATTTCAAATTATAATTATCACCCTTCATTGTTCTCTTTCACAAGTCCATATGTATGTCTTTCTATATCCATGTTTATATGTATACAAACACATTTATACTCATGTTTTGTACACATTTCACACATACACATACGTACATGTGTGTATGTATGCATACATTTCTAAGTATACATGCACAGATATATACATATATATAGAAAGAGAGATATGTACATACTATGCACATATATATTGTAATTAGCACAACTGTATAGGTTTGGGATGTTTCCCTGTATTGCTTTGTATTTCTTTTTGATAAAGTAATGTATTTCACCCTTCAAACTGCCAAATTAATTGTATAAACTAATTTTTATTTATGTTTCCTTGTCAACCTTTAAAAGGACTATTGATAAATCGGTGTTAATATATCAAAATATAGACTGATATTGCATTTTATTTGGCCCAGGTATCTAAAGTTAAAGTCCTGCAAATTTATCTCTGTTATTTATCCATTTTATTAAGATTACTTCAGAAAAATGAGGTTTCTAAGTGTAATTGACGTCTCTTTTTCATTCATTGCTCTTTTTTTATTGCAAAGTTTAGTCCTCCTACACTTGAGAATACCTAATTTTCTAGGATCATTGCTTAAAATTCAGTATCATCTGCACAATTATCATACTCAAATAATAAGAATATGTTTCTAGAACATGTTTATTCAATTTTAGGAAATGTTTTCTCTCCCCTTACCACTTTCTCTCATAGTCTTTTGGGTATTAATATATTACCACATTCTAAATTTTGTAACTTTTCATTTTCAGTAAAGCTTTAAGAAGCATAGATAGATGTGTAGATTATTCCTTGTTCAATATGCTCTATTTTTTCAATATTTAGTATCTCCAATGTATACACACACACACACACACACACACACACACACACACACAAAGGCTTTTGGAAACCACTAATTCCATTATTAAAGAGTATCACTATAATATCTTCAGAGATATGAACCTTAATTTTCTCATTATTTACTATAATCAGCAAATACTTTAATGTATGCTATGTTAATAAGATAACCAATATAGTACAAGATTACATTGTTATAAGCACTTACCTTATGCTTAAAATTAGCACATTTACTATAAACTGAAACAACTTCTTCCTCTTTTTATTCTCCTCATTATTATTATTATCACTATTACTATTATTAAATAATAAACTCAGGAACCAAGATGGATTCCCTTCAGATTCTGTCTAAAATCAAATTGGTAATTTTCTACTCAGACATCTCAGAATAGAAAGTACACGACAAAAGTACTGAAAAATAAAGGGATAGAGGTTAGGGTCATGGGAGGTGCAATAGGATAGTTTTCCCATGTTACTTCAAATGCAAGCCTATCTTATGCCAGGCACAGCCCAAGTTTAATTTAATCTCAAAACCCTATTTTCATCAGGTTGCCATTTTTATCATTATTTCCCTATACAATAAAACAATTAAAAACTTAAATTGGCAAAAGTTTTGGCCTTCGATTCCCAAGGCTTCATTTGAGGCATTCAGAAAATGCCATGAGAAGGTAACACATGGTGTCACATTTGTGTATTGTAGGAAGCATCTTGGGAAATATGGTTTTTAAAAGCTCAAAATAATATAATAAATAAATAAATAAAAGCTCAAAACATGTTTGCAGTCAAATATGAATTCAACTCAAAATTCTTCTCTTTTATTAATTCTTCTCTTTTCTTCTACTTTTTTTGTATGAAATTACTATATGTATGCTATTATCTTTAATCTCTGAAATTTTAAATGCACTAGAAATTAAGATTCTTTACTTTTGCCAATGAACCTGACACTAATTACATACCTGGTTATGTATAAGAACATGTG